AATGACAGAATTTTCATTTTTGGGTGAACTAACCCTTTAATATATTTGTGGAAACCGTGATACACTTTCTTTGATGATTCTTTGTTGATCTGATTTGATTAATTCTTTGATGAATAAAAAATTCAAAAGAACAGCATTTTTCTTAAAATAGAAATCTTTTTGGAACATTATAAATGTCTTTACTGTAATTTTATATCAATTTAATTCATCCTTGCTGAATAAAAGTAGAATTTTCTTTTCCAAAAAAAAAAAAAAGTCTCAAACCTCAAAAGGTCAACAAAGAGGCTACAAAAAAGACTGAATATTTCCACCATTATTCCCAGGACAAATAGTCTGTTCACTGAACACAAGTTGAACTTTTGTGATAACATGCTACCACAATAGTAACATAAAGGTAAATTGGAATGAAAAAAGTAAATGAAAATTTTAATTTGATGCATCGAAGAGTTTTGAACTAGCTACAGAAAACATCCATTTATGTCACTGTACTTCTGACTCTAGTTACTGAGACAAAGCCTTTGTGAAAACTAGTCTATATATGGTAATAGATATTTATGGTAAGAGTGGGATATTGCACCCCAGCCAAAACTTTTCATCAAAAACAAACACCCTAAACACAAAACCACAAACACAGGCAGGGGATATAAAGAGGATGTGATGTCTGTTTCACACGCACAGATTATGGTTATGGAGTTACTGACCCGTGTATTGTTCCTCTCCGCCTTGAGCTCAGCAATCTCCTCCTCTCTCTCCAGCAGCTGCTCCCGACATACATTCAGCTCTTTGGTCAACACTGCAAACTCCTGCTCACACACACAAACACACACACAACAGAAAATGAACTCTGTTCTGATCTTTACAGGCTCCTAGCAATCAACACAAATAAAGCAAAGAGTGTGTATCCAGTGCTGTGGTCAGCCTGAAATATATTTACGGATCACTCAAACCACACACACATAATGTAGAAATAAACACATACACCACATACATGTGTCCACCGTGTAGTCTGGGCTTCAGACAGCCTGCCCACGGACCGCCCACAGACTCACTGACCGTCTGAGACACGGTGCATACACACAACTGAAACATACACTTTCTCAATCTGGCAAGCTCTAATCTGATTGGCTGACTTCACACCATTTCACCAGGTGTAAGAGCCCACAGGGTTTATTATCAGTCTGTCTGAAAAGTTGTGTTTGCAGGCTGATACAAGAAGTTCAGCTGTTTTGAAGATGAAAATAATCACTGGATTTGCCTAGGTTTGATAGGTTAGTGATTTCAAAACCTTGAAAGATACTCTATATATATATATATATATATATATATATCCGCCAGTGTTCCCTTATGAAAAAGAAGTTTATTCAAGTGTGCTGTTAGTATACTTCTTTTAAACTAAAAATAGGAAAGTACACTTTTAGTCTGCTTTTTTTATGTACTTCTCAGAAATGGGCTTTATGTACTTCTCAGAAATATACTAAAATGACATTTAAGTATACTTGACTTATACTGAGGAAAAAGTCTAAATATATTTGAGCTATACTTGTGAATCCGTGTTTTCGTTGTTATACGGTAGGGGGCGCTAGTACACATGTTCTGTACAGAATTTCCAAAAAAACACAAGTGAAGAAGAAACTGAAACAACAGATGCTTCCACATGTATTCTAACACGATCATCAGACATAAAACAGCATCAAAACTGTGTAACCTTATGGAATAAAATGTAGACCGATGAAGAGGTAATAATGACCGTCAAGCTTTGGGGTGTTGATCGACGCCATCTACGTTTTGATTATCATTCTGAATCCAATTCATAGTCTTTTTTTCAGCTTTTAGTTCAAAATGTTGTTTATTTGTTTATTTTTTATTCATGAAACTTACCCACATACAAGTGTTTAAAAAAAGAAACTACTGTTATACTTAAAGTATATTTAAAAGTATACTTTTATATACTAGAAAGTGGGCCAATTTAGTCCCAAGGAGTATTGAAATAGTACACTTACTACTAGTACACTGATATTTGTATACTTACTACATAAAGTATACTTAAAAATATACTTGAACTTTACTTAAGTACACTTAATAAACTAAACTTGAAGTATACTACATTTTGGTAAGGGTTGTTATTGTTAACTAAAACTATAAAAAATGTTGTTGATGAAATCAAGCTAAAATAAAATAAAATAAAATATAAATATTAGATGAAAATCTTACAACATACTGCTATTCAGCACAGTTCAACAGTTTGGGCAGTTTGGTGGTTGATAACCACTGGTTTAAATTAAATTTCTTAAAAAAAATTTTCATCTATAAATCTAATTTATTCAGATAGGATACACAAGAAAATTAGGCATTTACACTCTATGTATAAAGAATTTAATGATCATCAAAAGTTAAAATGTATTACTGTCGACCATCAGACGACAGCAGATGAAAAAACGTTGTTACAAAAGTGTAGAGAAAGATTATTAAATTATTGCACATTTGCATTGAGTTCAGAGTTCGTTTGGACTTCCCATGTGTTTTGTTGCAGTTATGTTTTTGTTATAGCCTACTACAGCATGTGTGAGCAGTGTTGCAAAAATTCAGCTCTTTGCCTCTTTTTATATACATTTTGCAAACAAACTGCCGAATCCAACAACTGAATGTGTTAATACATTAACTTAAAAAACATGAGATTATGCAAATTACTGACACTGAACTATTTCATTTATTGACATCGCAGCATCATTTCATCAGTAATACAAGGCTGTTGATTAGTTACCGAGTTAACAGAGGCTGGTATCATAAATGCCCAAACGTTGGTATCGTACAACCAACCCGCGTTTGTGTGCGTGTGGGACTGAATCAGAGTTTGTTACTTTTATTGCTTCTGTGTGAACAGCGGACAAAGTCCACATTCTGAACACTCCAATGAGCAACTCTCGGGTGTAAGGTCTTCATAGCACCATGTTGTGTAAGATGACATATGGCCTCACACGGCTGCCACTGCGAGCCTAAAGCCACACCATCTTTTTCCAGCCGCCTATATGTGATCGGGTACCTTCCTCAAGAATCACGCATGACACAGCTTCCCTGTCTTACGCAGACAAAATTGCTATTGCATGTGTAATTATGTACTTTGTGTGTCCACTTACTTAAATGCACAGCAGATGTTGGGATTTTTATTAGATGATGCTGAATATGTTTGCGAGATGACGTAAAGAACCACTAATAACTTAACCTAAAAGTGAATCAAATCCCGGATCAATCAAGTCAGCGACTCAAGAAAAACATAAGGCGATTTGAATCCGAGACAATCTTACTAAGCAATCACATTCCCTCCGCAATGCAAACCAAACCCCAATCAAAAGGCCTTTAACAAGCAAAGCACCAATCACGTTGCATGTACCTTCTGAGCTCAAATCGGCCAATCATGTTTCCTTTCCTTCATGATGAATGTGTTTGGTGGGTCACGTCTCCATCCTGTCTATATCTAACTGCTTCACTTTCTGCCAACATGCAAAAATAGGGGAAAGAAGCTGGAGCAAGGAGGAGGAGAGGAAAGGAGGAGTGGGGGGGCTGAGCTTAGGAGTGGTATAGTGGTACACAGATGGTAACTCAGTGGGCCCATAGGACTTTGGCATTCTGGAAATGTACCTTGCTGAGATTGGACTAGAATTATGTTTGGCAAAAGTATGCCAAACACAACTGCGTGACAATGTCCTGCCTTATTTCTCTCTCATTCAAGCTCCCACTACGGCTCCACTGACACAAAGGACCTCAACAATGGCTTTACATCCTCTTTTTCAGCTTTTGTCTCTTTCTCAATTCGTTTTTCTCTCATACGCCCAACACTGATGGGATGCGCCGACTGAACCCTGCTTAATGTATCACTGCTCTGAATATGTGTCTGCTTATTTCAGAGTGTTTGCATATGTTTGTGTGTGAAAGATAGCGATATATTGATTCTCCCTCTCTCTGTGTTGCTATGCCCCTTAAATATCCAGTCATTCCCATATTTCAAGCCATATGTTGGTGGCAGTCGGTCCCAAAATGTTTCCAGTGATACAGACGTTGATCTTTAATTGGTAGACAAATATGGTGTTAGAACTGTATAAAAAGGAATAAGTTCACAAATACAGAATCATAAATCTAATTCACATGAACAAAACATGATTCATAAACATACAAATGCTCTGACAAATTGTTCAATGTTTTTGCATTTAATAATTTATTGTTCAATCTGCATTTGCAAATTGCCACACATTTGTGGGTCGCCTTGGAATTGTGACTTTTCTGACAGGTTTTGATTCACAAATTCATTCTTACAAGTATATTTTCTTTAGACGTCAAAAATTATTTTTGTTAAAAAGGTATTTTGTTTTATTTACCTGTACAACAAGACAAAACGGATGATGACGGAAAAGACTTTTAACAATACAGTTAAGTTCAACTCTGTGACTCAATGCTGTCTGTCTCTTCTGTACAAAGTGCTTTAATGGAAAAGGAGTGATGTTATGCTGAAATTAAATCCACACATTATGCAAAGAGCAACTTTTTTTTCTCTCTCCACTAGGAACATAGAGGTCCAGAGAGTTTGGGATATTAGAAGCGACTCCTTTATTTTGTACACACAACATAACTTAGAGGATTCACTTTACTACAAATCAAAGTGGTTGTCACTCTCCAAATTTTGCAGTGTACGTATATGTCTTTGAGCACTAAATATAATGTGACAGGCAGCAAGGATGCCAGCAACGAAGTGAGTGACTTAAATCACTAAACTAAAAGTATTACTTTTAATTTTGTTTCTGTGTAATTGTAACATTTAAACATGGCACAACTCTCCCATAAAAAGACATACTGCAGAGAAAAGATTACTTGGGTCACCTTACTTGAGTCAATCATTTGTGAAATGTATACATGAACACAAATCTAAGGTGACAACCATAATGTGAAGATTTGTAAATGCAGATCCAAAAATCTATTTGTAATATAAAATAATTTGAAAAACTCATGAACACATTTTGTGAATTTGAATAAAGTTATGCATTTGTGAATATATTCATTTTAATACTGTTCTGACCCCATATACAACTGCAATGCCTGACAGATTTATCCACTGGCCAAGCTCATTACCTCACCTTAAGCTGCTATGATGTCATTAAAGGATTCAAAGTCATTATTTGACAAAATCTACAAATGAAACAACAAAAGATTCAAAAGATTATACTCTTCAACAATCAAAAATATATTGTCCCACCTTGCCTAAAACAAGTCACAGAATCATAGATAAGCATATAATCTCAAAAATATATGTAGAACACCTTAAATTAGATCAGAGGAGACAAAACAGTTCAAGACCTGAAAAGAAAAGCCCACAGCAATATAGAAGATAAAGATTAGCTTAAATGTCAGCCAAATCAGACAGATATAATTACAGACTGCCCAATGCAAACAAAGGACATGACACTAACCAGACAAGCTTAGTTCTGACTCTTTCAAATTCTTTACATCTGTCTGTGTGTGACATTACTTATACTTCACTGGCAGCTCATCATCAGACATGGTTCATCTCAGTGACCTGTTTTTCCATGCAAACTTTTCAGTCCAAATTCTTAAGGGAATATTCCAGGTTCAATCCAAGTTAATGGATAAGCTCTGTGTTACGTGCACCCAGATTATCAGTGATTATTCAGCAAAAGCCAGCTCCATAACCTCCAAGACCTCAAGACCTTTAACAGCTCCAGAGCTTTTGTTAAAACTACAGATTGTGCATTTTCATATTCCCGTCCACAGACAGTCAGGTCCATAGAGGCGACGTCAAAATCAAAAGTGCATTATGGGTGTTGAACTTCTTGGCAAAAGGGAACATCAGCACTTTTTCTCTAGTCATGTATCACAGATTTTAAAAATGTTTCGCATTTCTACTGCATAAACAGCCAAGTTTTATTAAAAGCCATCTTTCCAGCAGTAATTCCCCCTTTAAGCTCAAATGACAGCATTTGTGTCATAATTATCACCAAAATAATTATATATAAAAAAAACTGTTTCAGCCCTTATCTTAAAAAAAATAATTGTTATGGTGTGGCCCATATCCAATTTGTGAGCAAAATAGTTTTAATAAGAATCCTCGTGAATTTTGCACAAGGGTGAAAAACATGAATGCAGATTTTGCTCATTTTCAGGTTGGTCACGTGCATTCGCTGTGCTGACCAAACAGGAAGCTGCTTGATTAGAAAGTGACTTCTGTGCGAACTGTGCTTTATACATAGCTAGGCTACTGACAACAGACAATGGACCTTTTTTGCCCCCAAAATGTAGCTATTTTAGCAAGAAACTTGCAATGGAAGACAACAGGACCAATTTTAAAGCTATAATTTTGCGAAAGCACTTACATCAATTCCTCTGTTAAAACTTGTGTATTACTTGATCAGTACTGTAAATCTATTTAAATCATATTTTTTGTAGACATTTGTTTGTTTGTGATGTTGTGCTGTCATGGGAACATTGTAAAATTGGATATAACTTAAGACTTTTCATACTAAAATCATGTTAACTCAAACACTCATTAAATCAATTGTGCACATCTTGTGTTTTTGTGTTTCTTTAAAAAAATTATAAATAAGTATTTTAATGTTTACAGATTGGCCCCGTTTGCTTCCATTGTAAGTGCCTCACTAAGTTTTTGCTTAGTTTTTTTTAATAAAAGAAGCAGAAATAATTTTTTTGTAGTAATCAATATTATGCCACAAATGCTGTCATTTGAGCATACATGTAACTTTGACTGACCCCCAGGTATTCCTTTAAAACATGTTACTCCTTTAAAACGTCTGCAAAATGACTAAATGTAAATGTAAATGTAAATGTACTCCAAACGAAGATGATATTTATGATTTTAAATTACAGGAGCACAATAAATCAATATAATTACGAATATTCACATTATGAATCTCTTGCAACTTCAAATAATGTTTTAAACACACATACAGGACCCCTTATGCGTACCTGTGGCAGTGCGATGGAGAGTTGTCTCTGTAGCGAGTCCTTCTCGTGACCCAGCTCTCGCAGACGTAGCTGTGCCGTGCCGAGACTCTCCTGGGTCTCTCTGAGACTCTCTAGCAGCCGCTCTCTCACAAAAAGAGGAATTTGCGAGGATCACAGTGTGGGACCGCGAATCTGACTGTGTTTGCGTGCCTGAGAGCCTACGGCACACAGATAAACAACTTGTCATTCATATGCAGGTGTTTAGGATGGTGCAGCATGTGGTCTAAGAACGTGCGCCTTAACAGTCTGCAATGTGTGTGGGAATGTGAGTATTGCAGATATGTTATATTATGCGTGCATTTGTTCTCTCTTTCTTTTCCTCTATATCCTGTCCCTCAGTTAGTGTCTGTTTGAATTCACCCTCTATTCAAGCTTTCTTGGAGGAATCTCCTAATTGCTGTGCTCTTCTTCAAGGGTGGACATGTACTGTCAGAGCTGTCTTCTTGACAATGAGTTTATTATCCACAGCTTTTACTTTATTTTTTCCTCAGCGCTCAGGTAGATTCATGAGTTGTGTTGCTATTTCCTGAATGGCTTCAAGGCTCCTGATTGGCTCTTAGTATGTGCTGTTCAAAATCCTTGGCTTGGGTGCGTTTGGGTGGAGCAGCAGGACGTGGTCTCAGGTGGGACAAAAGTGGCAAGAGAAAGTAGGAGGGGAAAGTCACTGGGTCACAGGGACTGGATTGGGTAAAAGGAAGGGTGGGCATGGAGGAGAGTCTTCTACCCAATGGGTTCGAACTTCAAGTAAAGGAGAGCTGAAGAGGAAAATAAAGGAGAGTGACATTAACACAAATGGTCAAAGCTGGGCAAGACATGAAGAAATAAAGCATTATACATCAAATCCAGTGAATTCATAGTCTCTGAGTAAACCATTTTAAAACAGCAAGTTTCCCAGTAGACTGTTTTACAATAGCACTTTTATTGACTCTTGGGATACCATCACAAAAAAAGGGAATAGGGGGACAGTACACATGGAGAAAATAACACAATAAACAAAACCAAAAAGGCTTCGGACAGAAAGAGGTGAAACACAACTGTTATGATATCTTACTTTTGCAATTACTAATAAAACATGCTTTCAATGCAGACATTTAATGCATTAAATGTTGTAATACAAGTTGTCATAGCACTGGGATAGATAAGTGGGGAATGATCTGTGCTGTTGGGTTACTGTTGACTGTCATTTAAAGCTTTAAAACATATTATGATTAAAGACACTAAATAAAAAACAGTAATGCTTAAAAGTAATATGCCCATCTTGACAGTGACATCATTTACATGCACATAACTTTCTGATTCAGGTAAGCCTTTATTCTGAAAACAGATTTCCATATGCTCCAGAAATAGTGACATATCAGCATATCCTGAACATTTTTCTGTTTGCTTGAGCCATTTATAGTGCACCATGCATTTTAGTCATTTTGAAGAGTAATTTAATCAGCTCATGAAATATCGTTCATATCCCAACACAGGAGCTATGATTTGCGAAATATAAGTCACGAGACTCTTACAAATATAAGCCATGATTATTCTTTCAATTTTATTTAATCTTCATTAGAAAAGAAAAAGTGTTTAATTTCTCTGAGATTTTGAGTTGTTTATATCTGATATCACAAATTACCTTTGCTTGGACGTAGATAAAAAAGAATGTACAGTTAAAGTCGATATTCCGAATATGACCCACAAATCTTAATAATACAAGCATATGCTATCTAATTAAGATTTCCAGAAACCAAAACACTGGATTAATCTGGTTATGGCGATCAATGTGTTGGCATGACCCTTGCATAATCACAATATGACCAAATTCTGATTCACATCAGAATATTCCTGTGCATGTAAAAGCACTGAGTGAGAGACATGGAGTTAGCACTGAAATCACTCGGCTCTTCGACACAGGACTCAGCACTAGATGGTGGCAGACACATTGGGGAGCATCAAACTAAAAATAACATTGTAACCATCGGGTTTCCCCGTCACAGAAATCTGGGAATAGCATGAAAGAGCGTCCTGTTCCAGTGAATGTCGACACAGGAATTTGGACGAATCAATAGAGCAGTGATTCCTCGCACAGGCCACAAATCGTGCTAAATACTCCCTGTCTTGAATGTTAACGACGTCGAGGCGAATAAACACAATGTATCCGCCTCGTTTCCGCGACTGTCATGCAGAACATTCAAATCTACACCCAGTTCCATTTGTTTTGTCTCTCTGTCTGCCCGTCTGTCCGTCCGTCCGTCTCTCTGGCTCCCTCCCTCTTTCTCCGACACACACCTATTTCAAATTCCCTTCAACACAGACCGCAGCCGATTCCTAATAGCACAACGCACGGCTTTTATTTTCCGTTCGCCTTTACGGTATATTTGCTTCTCTAAACAGGCTCTGTAAAGCACATTAGTCAAGAGGCTAATGGATGCGCATGATGTACGGAAATGAAATTCATGGTGTGTAACGATCATGTAGCCGGGCAGCGCTTTTTGTGTTTCCGTGGACGCTGTCGACACGCAGTAAGGAAGAAACGGGTGGATGCTGCTGATCTTGTTTATTCCGTACTAACATGAATGGCTCGATGAAAAGAATAAAAAAATAAGCACCGCTCCGTTCGCAATTCGCCCAAACGCCGCTCAGCGTTCTAGTGTAAACTGGGCTGGTTGACGTATTCCTCTGCCGCTCGCTCCACCATGATATATGTGCCGTCTCTCTTCTGCAGATAAGCGACAGGACATGCCGTCGAAAGGAAATGATTACATTTTAACTAGTCTAACGAACAACTAATCGTGTCATTTCTTCAAATGTTGCTGTTTTATTCTCTTCCTCCCATCCTTTCGCCTCGCCCCCTCCTCCAAAGTCCTCCATCCCCCTCCTCATCTCCACAGCTGGGCGATATCACAAACACAGACATGCATATCTAAGAAAATACATGCGATGCTGAAATATGCACCGCTCACCGTTGTCATCGTCGAGAGTAACCGCTAGACATCATCATAATCATCATCATTTCATCCCTGTCGACCCCATCGGAGCGCAGCGCTTTCGGGTGCCGAATTCGCCCAGTTATCAGCCTCCCCCCTTCCTCTTCCTCACACATGTAACGACGGCACCAAGCGAGCAAACGTTACACCTAGCCACAGACAACCCCAGTCTCTCTCTCTCTCTTTCTCTTTCCCTCCCTCCTCTAATTAAGATGCTCCTGTGGGCATGCTACCTGCATTACTGTCTAAGCGCTCTTCCCTCCACTCACTCCTCAGAGAGGGAAGCTAAATTGTCTGCTGTTCACACAGGTTATGCCTTGAAGAGAAAAATCCATTCCTGGGCCAATCTCTTTGAAGACACTGCAATCAATGAAATCTATTCTAGCAAGATTTCTACTAAACTATTAGATATATTACATGGTTAAAACATTTTTTTCTCTGATGTGGCCTCGATACGTTGATAATGATGGTCCTAGAAATGTATTTGCCCAACATGAGGAATTAAAAGTGATGAATCTGTCATTACTCACTCATTACTCACTCATTCCAAACCTACTTGCTGTTATTTTTAAATGTGCACTGTAACTTTTTTTGTTCAAAATTTACGAAATTATATGATAAGACTGAGTACAGCATGAATCCATCTTCCAAAACGTGTTTTTGTCTTGTCCTGAATCACCATGGTATGCCTATAACAAGTGTTTATATTCTGACTATTTTAGACCACTGTGGAGTAGCCCAGTACCTGTGTGACTCGTACATAAATTGAGAGAAGCAGCTAAGGCTACAATGTTCCTCCACAAGACAAGACGCATGCAGTTTTGTTTATTACCCGGGAGAGCAACAAAAGTTACATAGTGTATCTTTAAGTCAGGAGTGTGTGTCTAAACCTGTTACTGGAGGGCCAGTGTCCAGCACAGTTTAGCTCCAACCTCAATTAAACAAATTAAGGTCTTCAGACTCACTAGAAACAGAGATTGTCTTCTTATTGGGAGATAAGAGGGTCTGTATTACGTACCATTAGAAAAGCGTAATGGCTAATCACTTGGATCACGTGAGGTACCTCAGCCAGTCATACAATGGCAGTGAGGACAATGGCCGGCTTTCACAGTTCTTCGACGGTCAGTTACAGTTTACATTGCATAGTAATAAAAGAGCGTGAATTGCTGGTCACTTACTGGTCACTGCAATTTAAGATTAGGTTTTATTCTGTTCATTTAAAAAAAACAGCATGATTGGGCATACATAAAACTGATACTAGTCACTAAAAATGTAATTTTTTGGTTGAAATCTGGAAGCCATAGAAAGGATATCTTTTATTTGAAACATTCACGCCTGCTTCACCACCACAGCCAGCACAAACGCGATCTGTTTCTAGGGCAGCTGTAACAGTGATATCATGTCTGTAAATGTACGGTCCAGCACCTTTCCTCACATAAGAGGATGAACGTGTTATTTTAAGAGCGATGCACGAGCATTCATGGGCAAATGGTCCAAATAGTTCAGCGCTGGCTGGGTACCACTAAGAACTTCATCAGTCGGTCCGCTCTTGCTCTCTCTGTGTCGCCACATCCCCTCCCTCTACCGGCTGTTTTCAGTATTGCGCCTCTCAAACCATCCGCACTAGTTAACAATTATCACGTCATTTTTTCAGCGTTTCATTGCATCATCACTGAAGTGCGGCTTTTATTGGGTTTTAAAATGTTAATTTGACGATAACGGTGTTTAGAGTAAAATAATATTTTGCATCTAGGCTACTCCTTTTCGAAATCCGCTTGTCCACGTAATAATTTTCTAGCAAAACTCTATGAACCAAAATGTTTATTAAAAATCTCTATTTAAATATAGGCTACCCAGCAAACAGGGGACGTCCCCCGGACGTTCCGAACGTCCGTTTAGGTCCGCAGTACGTCCGCTTTGTAACGTTTGCGAACGTCCGTTTCTTCCCTCATCTGCCATTTCCATTACAACACTTGAAAAATACAGTCGCCCATGCGTGGCCTTTTATCATCAGGCCTGACACCTTGTAACTCAGACAAAGAGTTGACAAAATGAAACTAAAATATAAACCCATATTGGATTTTAAAGGGTAGGCTATTATTCCTTAAAACAAAATCCCTT